CTCTCTCTCTCTCTCTCTCTCTCTCTCCCTCTCCTCCCCCTCTCTCTTTCTTTCCTTCTATGTAATCCTGGCTGGCTGGGAACTTACTATGTACACCAGGCAGACCTCAAACTCACAGAGACCCATTTGCCTTTCCCCCCAATGCCGGGATTAAAGGTGTGTGCCACCACAGCTGACTAGATTATTATTTTTAATTGGCATACAAAGTACTAAGGCTCCCTGTGGCATTTTCAACTGTAATTGGTTTTTCTTGACTCTCCTCCCTTTCCCTCCTTCTTCCTTGTACCCTTGTCACCTTCCTCCCTTCATTTTACTTCCATGTTGAGTGCGTTCTATTGCTCCACCCATTTCCTCCTAAAATGTCAACATCTGCAGAAGAAGAAAGAGTGTTCAAAGGCTAAATAGCCCTTAAAGTGACAGCCGTCTTAGCCTTAGAGCCTTAAGAGAAAGTTAACTCAAGTGGAAAAGGCCAAACCCCACGTGCTAGCTCATCCCTATAGTGACAAGATCCAATATCACTAATGTCAGCAAACTAAACTATTTCCCACTTCTCTCCCTTTCCGTTCCTCTTTCCCTTTCTTCTTCCCTTCATTTTGCTTTTCTTTCTTTCATTTTTTTTGTGTGCCAACCCAGGTTCTGGCCTTCAAATTTGTTGTGGGGTATCCATCAGAGAAGACTGCTTAGACATGGGTTTAAGCCAATAGAAAGTCTTCATTAGCCAGCCTGTGACTACATGGAGTGTTTGGGACCCCAGTGTGGCCCCAACCCTATCTCAGGTGAGCTTTTAAGCACAAAAGCCATGTCCTAGATTGACACACTTTAGTTAACCATAACAGTTAGCTAGAATCAGAACTACAGAAGCCAAAAAAAAAAAAAAAACAAGGTTAGTACATTCAGAGACTGAAAAGATGATAATCGTCGCTGGTGGTGGCACTGGTTGTGGAGTGGAAAGGTCACGGTCATGACAGAACCCAATATCAGTATTCAGAGCTTTATTAGAAGGAAAAGGGCAGGGGAGAAAGGACCAGGCCTGGTGAAAAAGATAGTGGGGTGGGGGAAGAGGGGAACAGAGAAGAGCAGAGAGAGCATGGGGTCTGCATCTGGCTTTTAAAGCACAGATTTTGTGGCCACGCCACACGTACACGTACGTAGTCACCAACACCCCCTGATGACATAAGACCCAAGATCCTGAGCTGTGCGTGTACAGGAGTGAGGGCAGGATCCTAACAGAGACTTTCCAAGAACTATAGACTTTGATGGATTTTTTTTTTTTTTTTTTTTTTTTTTTTTTTTTTTTTTTGGCAGGTGATGCTGTCTATGTGCTGAGTTTT